CAAGAGAAGACGTAGGCCAAAAGAAAAGAAGCAAAAAGGAATGGACCAACCATAAAAAAGTATAATTGTAATGAAGTTTTTAGTGATGAAATTGGAAAATAATGGAGCTTAGAAAGCAAGTTTTAATGGCTACAACGCCTGCATAATGTGTATTCATTAGCACTCTCTCTCTTATTTTTGTTTTGTGAGTGTGTCTTGTCATAATACTGTGTCAATGTTGTATGTCTCTATGTAATTATCACTTAGGGCACGCAATTATTAATCATCATAAAGGGCCAGCCGTGACAGAGACTTCACTGTCATTTTCATTCACTTCTTTTTAGTTGTATTTCTTATAACTTGGGATGGCAATGGGGCGGGTTTGAGTCTAATACGAAAAATTTCCAACTCACTCCGCCCCGTCCCGCGTAGCCTATCTGTTTTCAACTCGTCCCGGTCTTCCCCGCGTCAATCCGCCCCGCCCGGCTTAGTTTTTTAAAAAAATAAAAATAAATTATCTATCCTTTTTTGCTTTCAGTTTCTTTGATCAGTTTACTACTCTACAATTATATATTTTACAATTATATTTTTATATACTTGTATAAGTTAAAGAATTATTTTCTTCGTGTATATATAAAGAAACACAAATATCAAATGTATCATCTTTAAATATGTTTCAGTATTATATAAGAAATTTCATTCTTATTATTTTCTTACGCTTTAGTGAATTCTAGTTACTTTTATATTTGATGCAGTTTCTAAAAATATAATTTCACAGTAGGAAATAATGAATATCAAATAAATAAGTTCGTGAGAAAGCTAGAATTAAATGAAAACTATCACAACCAGGAATCTCAGTCTCAGGATCGTGATGGAGCCTAACATCTACTTGCTAGGCAAGCCGACGTGATAATTAAATAGTCAATTTTTAATAGTTAACACAATGATAATATACAATGAGAAATAGAAACCCAATCTGATACCATACCAACATAAGTCATGTGATAATATTTACTCCCGAAGATCCGGAGTCACAAGTATACGAGCAACTAGAAGTTCTACAAATAGAGTCTGAAATAAATATAACTGTGTCGAAGAAAATAAACAGTAAAAGTGGGAAGAGTAAGGGAACTTCAAGGTCTGTGGACGCCAGCAGATCTACCTCAAGTCTCTGTATGCAATGATCCGAGCTGACGCACCTCACGCACCGCTGAGACCAATACCAGAATTTGCACAAGAAGTGCAGAAGTGTAGTATGAGTACAACCGACCCAATGTAATTCGTAAGTGTCAAGCCTAACTTCAACGAGGTACTGACGAGGCTATGACATGCCATCTACGTAAATAAACCTGTACAAGTATATATGAAGCAGTAACAATACCAGAAAATAATAATGTACAAACTGGGAAGGGACATGCAAAAGGGGAAATATATGATGACTACGACAGGTATGAAATCACGTGATAGCCGAATACATCATCAACCAATGAAATCAGATAAACCAATGATATGAAAATGGCACGGCATCACCCTTCGTGCTTTTACTCTCATTCTTACCATAAAATGATAATATAAGTAAAATGAAATGGCATGCCATCACCCTTCGTACTTTTACTCTCGTCCTCACCATGTAATAAAGAATAAATGAGATGAATAGCACGTCATCACCCTTCGTGCTTTTACAATCTTTCTTACCATATAATAATGAATAAATAAGATAAATGGTACGGTATCACCTTTCGTGCTTTTACTCTCTTCCTTACTATGTAATAATCAATAAATGAGATAAATTCAATGGCACAGAATCACCCTTCGTTCTTTTACACTCTTCCTCACTATGTAATGAAGATAATATGAATTCGAAAAATAAATAATGCGGAGTATTTATTTAATGTCAAATATGATGCCAAGATTCCAAACTTCAACTTCCAAAATACTCAACAATTATGAAATAGGCAATAATTACGAAAGGAATAATCAAAGAAGTAATAACCTAACCTAAGCATAGATATCATAATTAACAATGCAATAAACACAAGGAAACAAGTTTCACCATGATTTAACTCAACAACAATGCATAAGTACTCGTTACCTCACATATATGTTGTTTCCACAC